CTTAGTAGAGTTCACAGTTATAATGTTGCGTTTTCATTATTTATTGTTAACAACTTTACATTGTACACAACTGCAAAATTAAATCTTCTCATATTTATATAACAAAAGCATACCATAAGTGTACTTCAAAAAGTTCATAGAAAATTAAACACTGTTTCATATTTTATGAAACAATAAGTGTGGCATCCACAGTTTTGTATCAAAATAAACCTATCTTTTAGTTCCATTTTTCCATGAACACTTTAAAGTCCCTTCTTACATGTAGAATTCGGGCCTGTTCAGTTTCTGGAATCACCAATGGCCTTGGAACATAAGTGTGTGGCATTCACATTTGGTGAATTAATGTCGTTTTGTCCTCTTTCAGTGTCTATCCTCTGTCATGTCTATTCCCCTATTGACTCCATTCAGTGAGAATTGTATTTTTCTTAATGTATTTTTCAGTCCCATCGTATCTTCTACTTATTTAACAATGCCTTTCTTTGCTCAGTTTATAGTTTTCATACATTTTAAGAGAATGTGATTGTTAAAACATTTTAATGACATTTGCCTATGATAAAAGAGGTGACTCCTAAAAACATAAGGAGTGGTTTGCACAACTTGTTCACTAAATATCTTATGCTGGTGGATTCATGTACAGGAGCCCTTTAATTTTACCAATTTTTCTACATAGGAAGAAAGCTTTAAGCCTGCCTGGATCAGAAAATAGGATATTTTAAGTAATATATGGGTCAAAGAATAAATTACATGCAAAATTAGAAAATAATTTGAATTAAAGAATATAAATGAAATATATGGAATACAAAAAATGTGATTAGAGAAGAATTTATGTTACAAAGGAAAAAATTTCTAATCAATCATTTAGGTTTTCCCTCTAAATATGTCTAATTAAAATTGTATTATACTAAGTGAAATCAGATCCAAAAAGATAAATATCATGTTTTCTCTTATTTGTGGTAGCTAATATATAGAGAGAACAGGAAAACAATGTGGATGTCATATCAGTTGTTATACAGTTACAAATGTTGCTTCATTGAATCATGCCATATAAATGAAAATATATTTTCTTTCCCATATTAAAAATAGAAAGAGATAGAAGGGGTATTTAATAGTGAGGAATCTTTATACTGTTTTTTTTTTCTTAATTTAGGTGTTGACTTTGAGTCTGACCTGATAGAAAAACTCATTTATTTGTATAAAACTGTAATTCAAAGTAAGTAGAAGTTGAAGAAGCTTAATATTATATTGGAGTCTATGAATAGACATGGAAAACCAATTAAAATTGTCGTAAAGATTGCTAGACTTGATACATTTCAGTAAGGTGAATCAACAATATAAAAGAGAACATATAAGTGGCCAATACGAAGACTGGAAAAGTTCATAAAAACACAACAGTACCAAAAACAACTCAAAAAGGGTTCATAGGAAGAACTTTAATACAATCAATGCTACAATATAGATGAATTAGAAAATTTCCTTTAAATGCACAAATTACTGAAGTTGACTCAAGCAACTCACACTGTATATATTTAAATACTATTCATGTTTTTGTAGCCTCTCAAATCAAGCAAACAAAAAGCTCCAAGCACATATGTATTTGTTGTTGGATTCATCTATATATATTATAATGGGAATTTGAGTAACTCAAGAAAAAAACAAGGACACATAATTTTGTCTTCCAAAAAAACATTTCTTCAAGAAGCAACACTAAATAACAAAACATGTACATTCATTTCCAGGGCTGCCTAACAAATCACCAAAAGCTGAATGACTTAAACAATGATCTGGAGCTGGTGCTATGGCTCACTTGGCTAATCCTCCACCTGTGGCGCCAGCACCCTGGGTTCTAGTCCTGTTTGGGGCGCCGGATTCTGTCCCGGTTGCTCCTCTTCCAGTCCAGCTCTCTGCTGTGGCCCTGGAAGGCAGTGGAGGATGGCCCAAGTGCTTGGGCCCTGCACCTGCATGGGAGACCCGGAGGAAGCACCTGGCTCCTGGCTTCGGATCTGCACAGCACGCCAGTCGTAGTGACCATTTGGTGGGGGTGAACCAATGGAAAAAGGAAGACCTTTCTCTCTGTCTCTCTCTCACTGTCTTTGGTGAATTTGTTTGATGATAATAAGAAAAAAGGAAAACAGCGCCAAAAGACAAACATAAAAACAAATTTAAAGACATAAAACTTGTACCATCACCAAAAAATAATGAAAACTCATTTAAACTCTGTAATATTTAACTCTGTTATATTTGTAGAAAAGTGTTTCCTTATGGTAAGAAATAATGTAATTTATATAATTACTACAAAAAGTAAACAAGACAAGGTTAGCAATTTTATACAGACTGATGACAAAATCTTGAAAAATGAAATCAGATGTATCAGCTGAGGACAATTTCCTCTGGAGGAAAAGCACAAAGTGGAGAAAACATTTAAAGCACTTTTGAAATTTATTAAAGCATAAAGTATACTACCAAACTTGTCAATCATATCAATTATCAGCCATATTAATACTTATGAATGCAATTAATTTATGTCCTAAAGACAATCTTTGCAATTTGGTTCACATATGGAAACAAAAACCATACAAATCACAAGACAAATACTATTCATACAAATATTTGCACACTGAAAAACGTAAAATCCCTATTCATGTAGACACAAATATGACATATGAAGCTTTGAATCAGAGACAGACACACTAATGAGGGGAAAATTTAAATCAGCATCGTCTTCAGAAGAGAGATCAAGTGAAAAAATAAATAAGTAAAGAGGAGACCTTAATATTATCAACAAGGTGATACAAGGTAACTTAATGAACATAGACTAGCTGTATATCCTGAGATATGTATCCTGATAACAAAATAGATTGAGCTATATGTCCTGATAACAAAGAATAAACCTTTGTAGCTGCTGTAAAGAGGAAGATTAGCAAGTTTGTATGTTCAAGTAGGAGAAAAATGGCTGAATCACATAACAAAATTAACAGTATTCACAGGAACAAGGAACAGAAAAGTTCTTAAATGTGGAAAGTAGAAAGATATCTTTTTTAAAACTTCTTAGATGAAAGATGATATAAGATTAACTTAAAGAATTTTAAATAATCAGCAGTTATGAAGTGGTCCGTAAGAGCATCTATGAGAAATATTTACTCCATATTAAGAGGAAAATTTATATTACTGAACACTTTCAGTAGAAATGAAAAAAAATTTAAATATTTCATCTCTAAGGAACTTAAAAAACATCCAAGTAAATCAAAATATGTAGATTATGGAAATATTAAATAAAAAGCAGACTATAATATATTAATTATTAGATATTAAATTAAAACAGGCAGAGAATGAGAAGGGGAAGCAGATGCAAATTATAGACAAAATTCTGTTTTCTAAAGAAATTAAAAAGTTATGAACTACTTGCTAACTTGACCAAGATCAAAAAGAAAAATATACAATTTTTTTTAAAAAGCAAGGGGGGGATAAATATTCAAACAGAAGAAATCTGAATTCACTTATGAGACTATTTTTTGTATAAATACAAAAAACTAGATGAAACAGATAATTTTCCAGGGAAAGTAATTGCTAAGATGGAATATTAAGTTTAGAAAACATATGCAGACCATTTTCCATGGAATTAATGGCGAAAAAGTCCATGCCTAGATGGTTGCTCGGAAAAATCCAAATCTTCAAAGACAACATAATTGCCATTATTTTACTATAACTTGATGAAGAACACTGAAAATAAAGGACAAATTCCAAATTCCTATTATGGAGGACTTCCATCACTGAACTTGTGGAGGGCTGACTCTTAGCATGACCACTGATTTTGCTCCCTGATGTTGACACCCTCTCTAAGCACAGCCCTGAGTGTGGGTGAGACCATTGCAATCAAAAGAAAATGACAAAGGTTGTGATTAGGCATGTAAAGAAATACAAAATCATATTACATAAGTCTTGCTGGTGTCTCTCTTCCTCCCTTGCTGGCTTCAAGAAATGAAGCTACTATGTTGGGGAAAGTGTGTGGCTAAGAATCTTGGACAGCCTTTTGGAGCTGAAGCAAATGATTCCTGCAGTCCATACCTTCCAGGAACTGAATTTCAACAACAATGACCCGTGTGTGGAAATGGATTCTTCTCCTGTAGACAACTATCCCAATGAAAATTTTGAATTCCACACTTGTGAGACAATGAACCTTCTCTGTCCATATCCAAAATAGTGTTTTTACTCTAATTATTACTATCCACCTGCAAGTCAAACAGTTTTAGAACATTATTAGCTCAGGATATACCTGATTATAATTTTCCCAAGATTAGGCTTCTCATAAATAATTGCTACTATTAAAATGAAATATGAAGTTGAATATATGAATAGTATTTTTAAAGGTATGCACAGGAAAATTTGGAAAAATGTTTTTCTGAGGTATATACCATAGGCCAGGCAATTTGTGAATTAGCATGTTAATAATACTTGATTTGATATTGAGAATTACACAGCATAACATGTGTTGCTTCCTCAGTAGCAGAAGTGGGCAGTGAAGTTTATAAAAAGTAAGTTACACTCCTAAGAAAATGACCTTTGAATTGGTAAAGACATATCTAGAAATAGTAAGGGAAAATGTCTCCCAAGGGAGGGAATTGTTATCTTTCTTACAAATTAAAGCACAGAAATGTAATAGTACTGGACATCAAATGACTGACAAAAAAGTCAAGATTGCGCTTAAAGATGAAACAAGTTTATTAGGTCAACAGGAAAAATAATTCCATCACAAAAAGCATCAAGGCAAATGCTGTGGCAACATCACCGAGGCAGAACTGTGAGATTCAGTTGAATTTCACATTATCCCATTTGATGAGGACAATTTATGAGAACTGTAGGTTGGATTTAAGGTCACCAACAGACTATACAAGACTCTTATTGCAGGATCATGTTTATCCAAGAATAAGTCTCAGAACAGGAGGCTTGGAACTGGAGAGTGCTGACATCACAGGTGTAATGGGCCAGAGTCTCCCTTGCTGTATTCAGTAGTAGTAGCCAAAGCCAGAGCCATAGCCACAGCCACAGAGAGAGCGTGAACCATAGCCATAGCCACAGCCATAGCCACAGCCCAGTCTGCGGTAGCCACAGCCATAGTAGGAGCCAAGGCCACAGCCCAGGCCTCCATAGCCATAGCCCAGGCCTCCATAGCCACAGCATCCATAGCCACGGCCGCCATAGTAGTTTCCGTAGTAGCCACACATGGTGTTGGTTGTTGAGGTTGTTCTTGGGTGGAGAAGGAGGAGAAGTGTAGGTGACTCGAGTCTGACAATTCTCCCTGCAGAGGGCCTTTTATATGCTTTCAGTATGGGTGTGACCCACCAGAGATGCTCCTGTCATTGGCTCATTTTATGAGTAATCTAGTTATTTGTTTGTTTTTTTTTTTTTTTTTTGGATCATGAGATAAAGCTTCATAAATATGAAGAAAGCTTTGTTTGCTTAGTCTCCCAGTTTGGAATCTTCATATACAATTAAGCACTTCAGTAAGACACATACACTAACATTCCTACGCCCCTGAACTCCTGCTTCAACCCCGATGTTCATTCTCCCTCTAACCATCTTTTATAAAATCTTATTTCTTCTTGGCCTCAATTTTGCCATCTCTCTTTTTTATATTTTATAAGAAAAAATTTTCCAATTTGAAGAAATTTTCTTCTGTCTTGATTAAATTAGTATTTTCTTCAGGAATAAGTTTTTTTTTTTTTTTTTTTTTTTTATTTGAAAGGCTGATTTACAGAGAGGCAGAGGCAGAAAGAAAGAGAGAGAGAGATGTCTTCCATCTTCTGGTTCACTCTCCAGATAGTAGCAACAGCTGGAGCTGAGTTGATCTGAAGCCAGGACCTAGGAGCCTAGCGCTTCCTCTGGGTTTCCCCTGGGTGCAGGGGCCCAAGGACTTGGGCCACCTTCCACAGAGAACTGGATCAGAGTGGAACAGCCAGGACTCGAACCAGCGCCCATATGGGATGCCCGTACTGTGGGCGGCAGCTTTATCTGCTATGCCACGCGCAGGCCCCTGGAATGTTACTTTTGTATAACAAAAACCAAGTGTGTCTTTCCTCTCCATGATGTTGATATTAATCCGCTAATTAAAAATTCAAGAGAAGCAGGTGTCACCAAAATGTAATCGACTTTCCTACTTCTGTCAAAAGGGTCTAATTTCCATTTATTTTTAGCTTCAAAAGATGAATTGGAAAATAAAAATTGTTTTAGGGGATCCAATTTCTGTTTCCTCTTTTGCAAATTATGCACTCAATGATTAGTTAATATTCATAACTATACACCTGTCATAGTATCATTTATTTGAGTTTATAATGAATTAGAGAATTCTTTCTTTTTCAAACATCCATTGGTATCCTTTGTAACATGACTTCCTCAGCTGTCTTGCTTAACACTTAAATTCATTACTGTTATCATTCAAATCATTATGGTAATCCATCTTATCAGATAGCCAAAAAAAATGGGAACAGTTTCATATTAAATATGAGAGACATATATCTTTGTCTTTAATTGAATGCATGTGGAATTTAAAATTCACACAACCACATACATTTCTGACATCCCAATGATTGTTCTTTGTAAAAATATTATTTTGGTAAAGCCCTTCAGGCACCATTAGGCAGGGTTCAGAGACTAAAATTCTACACTATTTTATATTTATAGTGACAGGGGTTTGAAGTTTTAGTCATCCTCTATAGTTTAAGTAATTATTCTCTGTGTTCATCAGAAACATTTATCTATCTATCTATCTATCTATCTATTTATCTATAAAATTTCCCCCAGCTCATCTCATGTAGTGGCTATTTTAATTGGACCAAAAGAAAATAACATCTGTTTAAAAATCTGTATGTGTTATATTTATTTGAAGAGTAGACAGAGAGAAACAGACAAATAGAAAGCCCTCACCCACGGGTTCACTCCTCAAATGCTTAGAAATTCTGGTGGTGGACCTGACAATAGCCAGGAACAGGATCTCATTCTGTATCTCCCTGATGGGTGGCAGAGACCCAAGCAGTTGAGTTGATGGGGCACCAGCCCAGGAATTCCAATATGATATACAGGCATTCCAAGTGGTATTGTAACCACTGTGTCTAACAATAACCCAGAAAATAGTGTCTTTGATGCAGAACTATGTTTTTATATGAATTATCAGACTAAAATATTCATTGATTCATTCATCCTTGATGTGTTCTGAAAGTTCTTTCCATGTGTATTTCTTGTTTTGTGCAATTTCTAAGTTTCATGAGTTATTGCAAAACTTCATTTTATTCATTACCTGCTGGATTTAGACATTAAGAACAAAATAATATGTACTACATTGTGTCAAATTTCAAAAATTAAAAATAGCAATCACCTCAACTCATACAGTGTACAAATAAGTTTTTAGCACAAAAAACTAGTCAAAATAGCATCATGATTATTTTTCCTTTAGACAGTTTTAGTTCTTACACCATCACTTAAATTCTGTAAAACTGAATGGTATCAACCAATTAAGAACAAAAACTATAATTAACCTGTACTACTTTTCTGTACTTAATTAAAGATGGATATTTAATGCATTGGGTTTTGTGTGTGTGTGTGTACAGCATCATGTTCCTAATAGCAACATTAACCAAGCTTTAATCTCCTTAGTATTTGCTTCCAGATATTAAATTGTTTCTGCAAATTGTGTTGCTTTTCCTAATAACAGTAATGAGAGCTTTGTGCAACAGAACATTCTTTAATTTTTTAAATTTATTTTCCTGGTGTGTTTTTTCCTGAATAAACTCAATCTGAAACTCTAGTCCATGATCAAAACCAAAGTATGCCATTTTTCACACATCAAAACTTTGAAAGCAACTCTTCCTTGGCTCCTCAGCTTTTTGGGGATCATCAAGACCTATGTCTTGCCAAATTTGCAGGTCAAGAAATCTTCATTCTACTCAGACTCAGCAATGTTCAGATTCACTAAAATTCTCTTCACTCATGAAAGGCTCTCCAACATTTACCTTTATCCTGCCACAAATATCTGATTGCATTCCAATTTCACCATCTGCTCCTCCTAAGTTTCCTGTCCTTATCACTCTTCAGGTTCTTTTTTTCCCAATTTTGAGAGTGTGCAATAAGGTGCTTTCCCTCTTTATATATCCTTGAGTCTGTCTAATTTCTGTTTACATGAATCACTTGGATTATTTACATTGTTTTCCAAATCGATCTCAATTTATATTTCTAATATTATTATATATAAAAGTATTTCACAATATATAATACTCAATGATCTCTAATATTAAATTTCTCATAACTGTAGTATATTTTCCAAAAATGATGTACAATACTCAAAATCAATACACTTTATTTCACCTTTCTTCAACTACAGCCATTTTTTTCTCCCAGGATCCAATTCACAATATATTTGATTGCTGTAACTCTTTTTTTTTTCAAGATTTATTTTATTTATTTGAAAGCCAGAGTTACAGAGAGAGGTAGAGGCAGAGAGCAAGGTCTTCCATCTGTTTGTTCACTCCCCAGATGGCTGCAACAGCTGGATCTGTGCCAGTCCGAAGCCAGGAGCTTCTTTCCGATCTATGAATTGGGCGCAGGGGCCCAAGGACTTAGGCCATCTTCTCCTGCTTTCCCAGGCCATAGCAGAGAGCTGGATAGGAAGTGGAGCAGCCGGGACTAGAACAGGCACCCATATGGGATGCCAGCGCTTCAGGCCAGGGCGTTAACCTGCTGCGCCACAGTGCTGGCACCCTGAATCCTGTAACTCTTTAATCTCCTCTAATTTGTAACAGTCCTCATAATTTCCTTGACATTCATGACCCTGAACGTTTTAAAGAGTCTGATATCTTGTTTAATATCCTCCAATTTGGATTAGTCTGAAGTTTTTTCATAAGAAAATAGGGTTATACATTTTGGGCAAGAATATGAGAAAAGATGTGGCATTTTCACTTTTCTGTTTTTGGGAGCATATGATGTCAACGAATTTGAAAGTTTCTGGAATCATTTTAAACTTTAAGATTCTCATATATTAAGTATTTTCCTTTTTATATAGCCAGGATTTATAGATTTAAACAACAGGGTCCATATGATGGCTTTGGAGGATATGTAAAATTATAAATAGCCGTTCCTGTGAAATTTAAACTGAAAGGAATAGTTTTGATACACAATAGATGACAAAACATTTTCTATATTCAAACTTTACAAATGGATCCTGAGACAATGTCTCCACCTCCAGTCTTCCATCCTACCCTACCCTTTTGAGGTGACACTTTTGTTTCCAAGGCAGTATATTTGCAGATCATAACAAAGATGTTAAAAGTAAAACTAGGATTTTTCAACATGCTTCCAGTTGAAACCCAGTATTTTCTTTGGTTTTGTAATCTGTTGTTGGCCAGTAATATAGTCTAAATTTAGCATTTGCATTTAACAATCCTACAAAGAAGAAGAAGAATTGCTTCTTGAAGGCACCTGAGCTCATTACAGTCACTCTGACACAGAGCTTCGTCCTGGGTCTATGGGTTGTCAGGAAATTTTGAGATGGTTTTAGTGTCAATTGGTTTGAACATGTTTCAAACAGTACCTGTGGTTTTTTCCTTATATGGCTTTCAGTTGGTATTTAGGGGTCTGCTCAGGTTATGAACTCAAAACTGTAGAATCTAAGGAAGCTATATGTGGATAGATATTATTTTATACCCTAAAATAAAAGAAAAAATCTTCTCCATCTCTTGCAAGACAGCCACAAAATTTATCTTGTGTTGTAAAAATTACATCATCAAGTTTCATAAAATAGAAATAATGGGGAAAAGTATTCAGTTACTCAGAACATTAATAATTACTGGCAAAATGAATAAAAGAAAAGCTGATTGCTTGGAAAGTAAAAAGGCTTCTATTAAAAATTCTAGGTGGGAGAGCACATACAAATAAAATTACACATTTTTTAAAAGATTTATTTATTTATTTTAAAGTCAGAGTTACACACAGAGAAGGAGATGCAGGGAGAGAGAGAGGTCTTCCATCCACTGGTTCACTCCCCAATTGGCTGCAACTGCTGGAGCTGTGCAGTCCAAAGCCAGCAGCCAGGAACTTCTTCCTGGTCTCCCACGTGGGTTAAGAGGCCCAAGGACTTGGGCCATCCTCTACTGCTTTCCCAGGCCAGAGCAGAGAGCTGGATTGGAAGTAGAGCAGCCGGGACTTGAAGCGGCACCCATATGAGATTCCAGCACTGCAGATGGCAGCTTTACCCACTATGCCACAGAGCTGACACCAAATTATACAATTTTAAATAGTGAGTGGTACTGAATATAGTGCATTGAAACATCTGTACGAATACTTACAAGAGAATTTAGAGGAAAATTCACATCACTGAACACATTTATCAGAAAAATTAAAGAAATCAAGTTAGCATTCTAGTTTTAAGAACTTCAGGAAAGATATCCAAGTAAATGAAAGAACTCACAATAATGTGAATAATTATTAGAAAAGCAGAAATTAATAAGGTAGAGAATAGGAAGTAAGCAGGCATAAATGAGACAAAATATACTTAGGAGAATTAAAGTCACATACTATCTGCTAATTTGATCAAGAACAGAAGGAAAAAAACATACAAAAATAGAGGGAAACACTGAAACAAATGAAATTTTGCAAGTCTTATGACACTATTTTTCAGTCCTCTATTTGTATAAATATGAAAATACATATAGGTACATTCTCAGGGAAACAAAACATAAAAATTGACCATAAGGTATAAAAATCATAAATAGACAAAATCCTTGAATTAATGAAGAAAAAGATTTACCCAATATCCCCATAAAAATCCCAGGCGTGTTTAATTGCTCAGGAGAATTCTGCCATATCCTCATGAAACAAGGTAATCCCAACAGTGTGGAAATTACTGAAGAGCATTTAAAATGAAGGACAACTTCCTCATTGCTAATATGAAGGACATACAGCATTGAATTTGTGGTGGACAGACGCCGAACAAGCCCCACGCATTTCTGCCCCCTGATGTTGGTGCCCATCTGTGAGCACTTAGCTGTGAGTGTGGGTGAGACCTGTGGCTTGCTTTCAGCAAGTAGAACACACCAAGTGCATCTTATTATGTATGGTGATGTGAGTATGTGAGATGGAAAAACTCTCTTGCTGGAGTCTCTCTGTTTCCCTTGCTGACTTTGAGAAAACAAGAAACAGTTTTGTGGAACAAACCTGGCAAGGAGCCTCGTGCAGCCTGTTGGAGCTGAAGTGGCCTCAAGGAGACTGCATGTAAGGGACTTCAGCCAACAGACAGCAAGAAAATGGTGATGCAGTCCGGTGTTTGCAAGGATATGTATTCTGCCTTCAATGGTCTGAATATGGAATTGGAGTCTTCTATACACACATCTCAGATACAACTGCTGTTTCATCCAATGTATTGGGTAACATACGTGTAAGAAAATCAAACTTCTTATTCTATACTGAAATAGTGTTTTACCTAATCTTGTTATCTACTAGTAGGTCAAGTAGTTTTACAAGCTGTTACTAGCCCAAGGTGTATCAAATTAAAAAAATTATTCCTTAGGTTCTCTCTCTTATAAAAATAATACCCTTAAAACGGAAGATTAAACATATGAAGAGCAATAATTTTAAGATATGTGCACATGATAGAATGGCAGATGTCCTAAATAGCACTCTGGCCTCAGAATCAGCCCTTAAGGCATTCGGATATGGCTGAAGAACCCATGAGAGTATTTTAGGCATGGAAAGCCAAGACACCCTGGAAAAGAAAAAAGACCTAAATGAAAGATCTCTGTGAGTGAGATCCCAGTGGAAAGAACGGGGCCATCAAAGAAGGAGGTACCTTTCTCTGAAGAGAGGAGAGAACTTCCATTTTGACTATGACCCTGTCAGAATAAGATTGAAGTCAGTGAACTCAAAAGGCTTCCATAGCCTTGGCAACTCATGACTAGAGCCTAGGGAGATTACTGACACCATAAACAAGAGTGTCAATTTGTTAATTCAACAACAAGAGTCACTGTGTACTTACTTCTCATGTGGGATCTGTCCTTAATGTGTTGTCCAATGTGAAGTAATGCTAGAACTAGTACTGAAACAGTATTTTACACTTTGTGTTTCTGTGTGGGTGCAAACTGATGAAATCTTTACTTAATATATCTAAATTGATCTTCTGTATATAAAGAGAATTGAAAATGAATCTTGATGTGAATGAAATGGGAGAGGGAGTAGGAGATGGGAGGGGTGTGAGTGGGAGGGAAATTATGGGGGGGAGCCATTGTAATCCATAAACTGTACTTTGGAAATTTAGATTTACTAAATAAAAGTTAAAAAAATAAAGTTTGGGGAAGTAATTTTTTCTTTAATTTGTACCATATGTGAGGAAATCTTTACCCTAACTATAAATAGTATTGATTTTGTGTTGAGAGTTACCCAATAAAGTATATGTTGTTTTATCCATTGCAGAAAGGGACATTAAGATTTATCAAAAATAAATTACACTTAAGAAAAAGACCTTTGATTTGGTAAAGAAACTGATCAAGAAATAGTAAGGGAAAATATTTCCCAAGGCAAGGAATGATTATCTTTCTAAAAGATTGAAATACAAAATTGCAATAGTATCAGATATCAAATGACTCACAAAAAAAGCCAGAGTTGGTCTTACGGATTAAACAAGTTTATTAGGTCAACAAGGGAAATAGCTCCATCGAGAAAGTCATCAAAGCAGTTGCTATGGCATCATCATCCTGGTGAATGTGGTCTCAGATGAATTTCATCTTATCCCACTTCATGGGGAAAACTGTACATTAGATTTTAAGTCAACAACAGAATATACTACTTCTAAAACAGGATCTTTATCCAAGTATGAAGCATAGAACATGGGGTGTTGAGAACTGGTGAATGCCATTATCACAGTTGTCGAGGGCCAGAGTCTCCTTTGGCATCCTCAGTAGTAGTAGCCAAAGCCAGAGCCATAGCCAGAGCCACAGCCATAGCCACAGCCACAGAGAGAGCGTGAACCATAGCCATAGCCACAGCCATAGCCACAGCCCAGTCTGCGGTAGCCACAGCCATAGTAGGAGCCAAGGCCACAGCCCAGGCCTCCATAGCCATAGCCCAGGCCTCCGTAGCCACAGCATCCATAGCCACGGCCACCATAGTAGTTTCCATAGTAGCCACACATGGTGTTGGTTGTTGAGGTTGTCCTTGGGTGGAGAAGGAGGAGGAGTGTAGGTGACTCGAGTCTGGAGAGTTCTCCCTGCAGAGGCCCTTTTATATGATTTCAGTGTGGGTGTGACCCACCAGAGATGCTCCTATCATTGGCTCATTTTATGAGTAATCTAGTTAATTTGTTGTTTCTCAACAGTAAGATGAAGTTCCATTCATATTAAGGAAGATTGCTTTGTTTGGTCCCTCAGTTGGGACTCTATCCGGGTAAAGACTTAATTCTTCTTTTAAATTTTAGATATTTACATTATTTACTGATAGACAGAAAGAGACAGATCTTACATTTCCTAGTTCACTTTCCAATTACCCACAATATCAGGATTGGACCAGACAAAAATCAGTGCCTGAAACTCAATCTGAATCTCTGACATGGGTGACAGGTACCCAATTTTTTTTTTTTTTTTTTTGACAGGCAGAGTGGACAGTGAGAGAGAGAGACAGAGAGAAAGGTCTTCCTTTGCTGTTGGTTCACCCTCCAATGGCCACTGCGGCCAGCGCGCTGCAGCCGGCGCACCGCGCTGATCCGATGGCAGGAGCCAGGTACTTATCCTGGTCTCCCATGCGGGTGCAGGGCCCAAGCACTTGGGCCATCCTCCACTGCCTTCCCGGGCCACAGCAGAGAGCTGGCCTGGAAGAGGGACAACCAGGACAGAATCCAGCACCCCGACCGGGACTAGAACCTTGTGTGCCGGCGCCGCAAGGTGGAGGATTAGCCTAGTGAGCCGTGGCACCGGCCAGAAATTCTTAAACTATCATCTCCTGACTCTCAATGTGAGCAGAAGCAAGAAGCTACAACACAAGCAGTGCTGGAACTTTAACCAAGGTTCTATGTGGAGCATGGGGTCAACTTGCATCTAAACTACCGTGCCAAACATCTACCCCAGGGCTTCTTTCTTATTCAATGAATGGGGAAACTCATACACTCACATTCACATAATCCAGCCTCATTCTAAATGTTAATTTTAGTCTCATGTAACTATCTTCATACAAAAAGGAGTACATTAATTGGCCATAATCTTATTTGCTGTTAGCCCCAATAATTTCACTGAGATAGGGATAGGTGTGCATGTGTGCATGTGTGTGTGTGTGTGAGAGAGAGAGAGAGAGAGAGAGAGAGAATTTCACAACAAAAATGTTCCATTTGTCTGAAAAGCTTTTTTTCCCCTACTGATACAAATAATTCTTTTCTTCCTAGATTCAGTTACTTTTGTATACTTAAAACAATTGTATCTTTTTCCATGATGTAGATAACAATTTAACTTAAACTCAAGAAAATAAGATATTAGCAAATTTTTTTTCTCCATGCTTATATCAGAGAGTCTAATTATAATTCTCATTTATGTTCAACTTCTCCTGAAGGGAAGGACACTGTGGCCTAGTAGGTTAATGCACATCCTGTGGCACTGGCATGCAATATGGGCGCTGGTTCATTACCCATTTGCTTCTCTTCTTACCCAACTCTCTGTTTATGGCCTGGGAAAGTTTGGTCCCCTGCACCAACATGAGAGGTCTGGAAGAAATCTCTGGCTCCTAGTTTCAGATGGGCCTGGTTCCAGCTGTGAACCAATGGAGGGAAGACCTTTCTTTCTGTCTCTGAGTATAACTCTGTATCTCAAATAAAGAAAAAAAATATTAAAAAAGCAAAAAGAAAACATCTAATGAAAACAAGAAAATGTAATTTATACTGTAGAATACAATGTTTCTATTTTATTTATCCAAATTGTGTATATAATGATGTTAATATTCTGAAGAAACTATACATCAACTATTTGTGTTTGTCACTGAATTAGAAACAGAGGACGGCATTGTGGGTAGTAGGTTAAGTTGCCACCTGTGATGCCAGCTTCACATATGGGTGTGGTTTGTGTCCCAGCTGCTCCACTTCCAATCCAGCTTCCTGCTAATGCACCTGGGAAAGCAGCAGATGATGGTCCAAGGGATTAGGTCCCTACACAGATAGGGAGACACAAAAGAATTTCTGGGCCCCTGGCTTTGGGCTGATACAGCCCCTATCCAGGCCATTTTGGGAGTTAACTGGTGGAGGAAAGATTTCTCTCTCTCTCTCTCCCGCTCTCTCTCTCTGTAACTCTGCCTTTTTAAAAAGAAACAGAATTGTTTCTTTCTCAATAATCCAATCAGGAATCTATATAACCTAGCATAGAGAGTATTTTTGTATAACCATTGAAATATTACTGCTATAATTCAAATCAGTGTGATTTGCCTATTGTATAGCCAAATTGGGAGTAGCTTAATACTAAAAATATCTCTGTGTGTTGATTTGAATGAATGAATTTGAATGAATATAGGAAGGTAGTATTACCCATACACATGGATTTCTAATAGCCCATTTTAGTTCTTAGAAAAAAATATTTTTGTTAGTATGTTCCCTTAGGATATTTAAAATTGAGACTGGATTACCTTGCAAATGAAGATGATTCACAGGTTAGACATGTTTTCTGTTTAATTAACTCATTTGTGGTGATCATTCAAACAAAAGTAAATATTTTTTAAATCATCCAATCCATCCAATCTTGAGACTATTTCAAATGGACAACAATAAAATAGAATCTTAACTCAACAGAAAAATGTTTTCATACAAATGACCACATCAATACATTTTCTATTTATTCTTTCTTCATGCATTTTGAATGTCCTTTCCACGTGGGTTTCCTGCTGGACTTAGGAATGGAAGACATTTTCATTATATCATATTCAAATTTTCCACAAAAAAAATAGTCTTGAGTATCATATAACAGAGTCAATCAAAGGATAGCTTAAATTTTCAGTAAAATCTAGTTGAAACAACAAGCAATATGCTTTATCTAAGCTACTTAAGTTCTTGGAGCATCACCTAAATTTTATAAACTGAATTACTTCACCCAATCAAAAGTTATAATTAACCTGATTTTGGCTGATAAAATGATATTGATAAAAGGGATATTGAATGCATTGTTTTTATTATAATGGTAAACATAATTCCCCCTTCTAACAACATTTTTTCTACTTTACTATAATTTTTTCTACCTTGTAATATTTTTCCATGTATAGCTTTTTTTTTCTCCTGGTAAGTTGAGTACTCTATCTAATCACAGTAGTGAGATCTTTGTACCACATCACATGTATTTACTTTTTAACATTTTTGAGATGTTTTCTGAATATATTAGGTTATCAAGTGTATTCCATAAAGATACTTTAAGAAAATCTTTCTTTAAACCCCTTGAAGAAATCCATTTTTCTTTTCTTTTTTTTATTTATTAAATGTAAATTTCCAAAGTACAGTTTATGGATTACAATGGTTTCCCCTCCCCCCCATAATTTCCCTCCCACTCGCACCCCTCCCATCTCCCGCTCCCTCTCCCCTTCCGTTCACATCAAGATTCATTTTAAATTCTCTTTATATACAGAAGATCGATTTAGTATATATTAAGTAAAGATTTCATGAAATCCATTTTTCTGTATTCAGTACAATCAAAAAATTTCACATATATTTCCATGGCGGCATCCTAATATTGCTGTACCTCTCTGATCACACTTTTTGCTCTCCACCCCTCCCCTCTGCTGAAACTGCTCTTGCAGGGATGATACAGACCCCAAACTTGTTAAATCTGTGATCCAAATCATATTCTTGTACCCAGGCTTCTGAGCTGTATCCAGATTCAACAAAGCTGTTTGCATTCCTTAAAGACTCGCCAACATTTATTTCATCTTGCCACAGACATCTGCTCCTTTTAAGTATCTTTGTATTCTTTATTTCTCTTCAGACTTTCCTCCAAATGTGACAGTACTCAAAGTCTACCTTCTATCTAAACTGTGCAGATGGGTAACTTTGGTTACACACTTTCTCTTAATATTTGTGTTTCCAACTTCAACACATATTATAATATTATCTATAAAGTATATAACTCAATGTCACCTAGTGTATAGCATCTTTTATAACCACAACGCATTTCGCAATCAGAGAATTTAACCTTTGCAATACACTTAACTGAACTGTACTTTATTTCACCATCCGTCTTTTCAGGGTCCTTCATTTTCTATTCCAGGCTCCACTTTGCATTGTGTTTGATTGCTTTGCCTGTCTAGTGTGCTTTACTTGATGATAGTTCCTCAATTTTTTTCTGATTTTCATGGTCTAGAAAATTTTAGAGCCAGGTATTTTGGAGAATATTCTCCAACTTGGATTTGTCTGAAGTTTTCCATAACTAGATTGGGGTTTGTACATACTGGGCAAGAGTGCCTGAACTGATGTAACTTTTTCAATTCCCCACATCAGGTAGTACATCCTGGGAATAAATCTTTGAGAGAATATGGAGTATTTTAAAACACAGATTGCAAATACAGTCTTTCATTTTCTATACATCCAGGAACAATGGGGTTAAACAGGCTCTCTACCACAACTTCGCATTACAGACAAAATTTTAGATACATGCATATTTAAAGTGTAAACCAAAGATAATAATATTACCCCTCAAAAAATGGCAAACCACTTTTATTATTCAACATTTTACAAGGGAATTTTGTCACTGTGTCTTTTCTTCCAAACATTTTCATACTTTCCTATCCTTTTGAAGCAGTACTTTTTTTCTAATGCTACATATTTGCAGATATTAATAAGCATATTAAATAAAGCTAGAATTTAAGTAGACAGAGATTTGTCATGGTTACATGTCCTAGTAGCTGTAAACAGAGGTTAAAATTAACATCAGTAATGAAGAAACCTCCAAGGTTAAATAACAATCCCTCAAAAAAGGCACATGATTTCATTACAGTCCTGACACACAGTGAAGTTGTTTTGGTTTTATTGGTTGTGGGGAATTCTTGAACTGGTTTTAATGCCAATTATGTTAGGACATGATTCCAACTGTGCTTGTGTTTTGCCTCACATATCACCCAGCTCGTATAGAAGGCAACAACATGGGAAGTGAGATACTCAGCAGACTCATAGAATGGCAGATGTCCTAAATAGCACTCTGGCCTCAGAATCAGCCCTAAAGGCATTCGGAGCTGG